TTGTATTTTGTAATTAATATTAACATAATTACAATGAAATATATTTATGTTTGTGGTTGTAATGTGACAAAATATGGAAAAGTTCAAGGGGTATGAATACTTTTGCAAACAACTGTATGTGGTCTTATAAGGTGTGCAAATCTATAAATGGGCTTAAATCTAATCTAAATGTCTCTTTTAGTTAGTTGTACTTTATATGTAATCTTAACATAATTACAATCTAGTAACCAGGACAACTGCTGGTGGACCAAATAAATTGGCTCGGCGGGCCAATTTTGGCCCGTGGCCCCCATTTTGGGCACCTCAKGCTTATATAGTCTAAATATTATTTTCATTAATACAGAGTAAATATTTTATTTTTTGCAAAATCAGCCCTTATTTTTCACTATTTTTCCAATATGTACTGTAAATCCAGACGTTTGCCTGGTCTGGTTAGCGCTGCCGCTGCTGCAGCAGCTCACACAGTTAAAAGACTGGGACTCACTCCTGCTGTCCTGTATACCTCCACGATGGACATATTCCTTCACTTTTTCTTCTCTACTCATGTTTCTGTAATGAAAGAATGCTCCAAGCAGCAAACCTTTCGCTCTGCATCGCGGTCAACATAAAACAGCCTCATGCTTTTATTGACAACAAACGTTCAGAGACTAAATGTTCCAGTTTGGTAAATAAGCAGGTAAAGCTTCTCCTCGGTGCTGTTTATGAGACCTGATTCAATTTTATGTGTACTTTTTAACCTGTCTGCTAGAGTATGTGGCTGTATGCAGATAAAATCAGAAGGAAAAATCAATAAAAACAAGACGTGCAAAAGTATTCGCTGCCTCAAGGTGTGAAAGAACCAAGTTCAGGAAAGTGCATACAGCGTCATCCACCCCTTTGCAGGGCTTGTAGGCAAATTGCAGTGGGTCCAAGCTGGTTTTAACAGTAGTTGAGAAAGTAATTAAGACAGCCCTCTTAAGTGACTTCATAACTAAGGATGTAAGGGCTACAGGCCTGTAGTCATTCAGCTGTTTAGGAGCTCTGTTTTTAGGGATTGGGACAATGATGGACTCTTTCCATAAACGTCGGACCTTATAGAGGTAGAGGGAGTATCTGAAAATATAACAAAAAATATCAGATAACTGCTCCGCACAGCTCTCAAGTAAGTGGCCGCCAATACCATCAGGACCCGGACTTTTCCCCTCCTTCAGACCACGGAAAAGTTTCTGGACCGTGCCCTCATCCACCTGGACAGAATTTATTCCTGCTGTTGCATCTTTAAAATGGGATTGCTCTGAAGTAAAATCATGAACATTAAAAAGGTTTTAAAGGTATTTAGATCATTTGAGAACTCATAATCCGACATTTTGCCAGAGGATATTGAACATTTCCCAGATTTCATACCCACCATGGATTTTATCCCCCTCCCATGCTGGGTGGGAGTGACCAGCACAAAGGAGCTACTCTGTCTTTGTAGCTACATTAAGCATTCTTTCTTGACTTGTTTCTGTAGTTCTCTGTACTTGGTAGTGTCCCCTTGTTGGAAACAAATATTGCGATGATTAATGATGTTTTTAACGGATTTAGAGATCCATGGTTTGTTGTTCAGAAAAAAGGAAACTTTAGTGGAATGACCATATCTGGACAAAAGGTGATATACTGTATGTTGACACTGTCTCTGTTAGGTCATCCAAGTCCGTACAGACTTCTTTGAAGAAGTGCTCAGGATTTGAAATGACTTCAATAAAACAACAAAATTCTACCACAGTTCATTAACAATATCGAGTAGTTCATGAGATATTTTGCTAACACACGCAGACCCAAGGAAAAAATAGAATTGCTTTTCTTCTTCTGGCAGCAGGTTCAATTGTTTCTTTTAGGCAAAAATGCTGAATAATTGTACACGCTGTCACTTGTTGGCCTTCGGCTGCGTGTTCACCTGCAGCTGGAACAGCATGTGACTGAAGGCAGAACAGACTCATGTCCAGTCAGCAGGACAGCAGGCTGAGCTCAGATCATGTTTACTTCACTGACATCCTGGAAGTCGCTTCATTCAGGCCTGACACAGCTCGGCTGYCGGCGGCTCAGACAACATGATTTCAAATATCAAGAGTTCACATCAGACCGAGTTCTGTCTGGTTCAGGAGAAGGGAGCATGGAGTCGATCCGAGTCGTGCCGAGTCCCAGGAGGAAAGGTGTCAGGTGCTAAAATGTGAGTATGTCATGTAATACTTGTTTTGAAATTGTGATGGTAAGGAAAGATTCAAAGCAGTAATATTGTCTATTGTCAGTCTGGTTCTACAAATAAAATTCCTACCGCAGCACAATGAGATGCTTTCTAAGAGTTTCACTTTAAAATCGGCCTCCATGGTCCTCAAACATCCAGAAACTGGTTCTGTCTGTTTCATGGACAGAGCATGGGGACGAATAACTTTCTATTTCAGGCCTCAGTGACTCTGTGTGAAACATGTTCAGCTAAGCTGGAGGAGATATTTAAAGAACTTCCCTCAGCTGCACAGTATGAACATCCAAAATAGTTTCAGTGTTCCTTTTTTTTTTTTGCACACTTTTGTTTAATCTCAGAAGTAAATTTATCTAAAATAATCTCATGGGTACATCATGTTTGGGAGACAGAACTTATAGCAGTTCTCATATGAGTCTTGGAGAGATAAAAACTTTTTGACTCTATTATCTTTTTCTTTATTTCTTTTGGATTCATTTATAACATAATGTTTTACCAAACGTAAAATATAATAAAACAAACAACTGACTATGTATACATTTATCTTTTTTATTACATTATTTTACAGAAGAAATTCAGAAACTGTAAAAGTTTATGGACCAATGTAAAACAAGGATTTGGTTACATTATTTGAAGTACACTAAAAARACAGATTGCTGGATTTACTTAACCAAGTTGTGTCAACATTTTCCACTCAGCTGAACTGAGTAAATGTGAAGTCATTTTTACATTTATTTTCAAAGAAAATGTGAAAGCTATTTTGCATTTAAGTAAATTCAACACATCTGTTTTTTGAGTGTAGAGTGTATATGTGTTCAAATATTTTGTCTACCAGCACAGTATAAGTGGTGGTGGTGGGTCACTAATTCGATTATTAGACCTACGGGAGGGAGAAGGCAAGAAAAGGTTACAAATTAAAATGTTAAACAACATATTTTCTTTTTTTTTAACCACAGAAAATGAAACACTAATTGTAAAGTATGTGTGCTGGTGGGTCATTCAGGAAACGATTGTCTGCGTCAATTATTTTTATTAATTATTATTTCAACTTTTTGTTCACTTTTAAACATTTCTTTTTGTCCTTTAAAATATTTGAAATATGCCAAAAAGGAAAAAAGATTTTTCAGGAGTGGTTAGGAGAGTTGTCCCCCCATTCCAGCAGTCTATCGTTGTGTCCTTGGGTAAGACACCTTACCCCAGCTGTCAGTGTGCCCCAGAGCAGCTGTGGCTACAATGTAGCTTACCACCATCAATGTGTAAATGCGTGTATGAATGGGTGAAAGCCTGTAGTGTAAAGCGCTTTGGCGTCCCCGTGGGGCTTGATAAAGTGCCTAATAAGTTTACAGTACCTCAAGTTTATGACAGGCTATAGCAGGGCTATTCAACTGGTGGCTTGTGGGCCACATCAGGCCACGGGTGACTCCCATTCAACCAGAATAAAAAAAATGTGCTTTCTTTTACTTGATTTAAGATAAAAAAAAATATACTTAAAATCAGTTTTAAATTTAAAGTTCAGTGGTGGCACGATGGCTCAGTGGTTAGCACCGACGCCTCACAGCAAGAAGGTCTTGGGTTCGATCCCCAGTTCGGACCTGGGGTCTTTCTCTGTGGAGTTTGCATGTTTTCCTCGTGCTTGTGTGGGTTTTCTCTGGGTACTCTGGTTTCCTCCACCCCTAAAAACATGTACAATAGGTTGCCTTCAGGCCCAGGCCTCCCTTGAAAAAGAGATCTGAGATCTCAGTGGGACTTGCCTGATTAAATAATGTTAAATAATAAAATAAAATGAAACAAGTTTAAATGGTAAAAGATAATAATACTTGTTCTTTTACATAATACATTGTTTTCCCTGTCATTTCTGGGCAAGACTCCCTGACCCCTGATATCCTGAGCAGTTGGCTTTGAGTTACTGTGGCTCCCCCTTAGCAATTTATTTGAATAACTCTGACTTAAAGTATTCCATCATTTAGAATTTTTTTTTATCAAAGTGTCGTAAATGGGCTTCCATTAAAAAGGGGCTTTATTTGAAAGTAATTTTTTAAATGTTTGTTTTTATACAGTTATATCCCCCCTTTCTTTTCCTGCATGGTCAGTAGCTGGGTTCAGTTTGGTGCCTTTAACACAACAACATACTAGTGTCTTGTACAGCAGCTAAAAGCCACAACGGTCTTCCGGACCCTCAAATAAAAAGTAAATATATCTCATTCTCAATGTACAAGATTATAGCAGGTTTGTATTTCAGATCTAAATACCAAATACATTTTTATTTTTCATTTGTTTTTGTTCTTTTACCACAAATTACCTTCAGCTATGAGAACAAGTCCAAACAAGGAGCTACCTGGACCGTTGTCAGCCCCATCGTGTTCACATACCGAGTCATTCAATGCAAAGACCTACTGGACCCCAGCAGTGATACCCTGCTCTGGGGTCACCTAGGAGAGGAAGAACTTCAAAATACCGTAAGAACTGACACCAAACCTGTAAAGCGTTTCATTGTCATCGATGAAAACGTACATCAGCTCTACGGCTCCAAGGTGGCTCGGTACTTTGAGTCCAGAGGAGTCGTTTCCAAGATTCTCCCTCTGCCCACCACCGAGGAGAACAAGAGTTTGGAGTTAGTGACCAAAATCTTGGAGGAAGTCCACAAGTTTGGCCTCGACAGACGCACTGAGCCCATCATCGCAATCGGAGGAGGGGTCTGTCTGGACGTGGTCGGTCTGGCGGCGTCGCTCTATCGCCGGCGGACTCCTTACATTCGGGTGCCGACCACTTTGCTGTCGTACGTTGATGCCAGCGTGGGGGCCAAAACGGGGGTCAACTTCGCCGGAGGGAAGAACAAGCTGGGGGGTTACGTCCCGCCGGTGGCATCATTCTTAGACCGCTCATTCTTCCAGACTCTCCCGCAACGGCAGATCTCTAACGGGCTGGCAGAGATGTTAAAGGTGCTTTTCGTTGCATGATCGCCCGCTGAGTTTTCTTGCATGTAGATTGCTAGTCTTCCTCCTCTTCTTCAGAAGGGGTTTTATGCTACTGAAAGACAAGTAAATCACAACTAAAGCAGCTTGACAAATAATTTAACAGAACATTTTTTGTGCCTGCTACCAAAAAGCAGAAGGCAGGCAATTGTGTGTGTACGTGGAGGATTTTAATGAAAGTCTCAGAGAGAAATTATTGGATGACACAACTTGGAGTAACCCCAATCCAAGATGGTTGCCACAGCTAATCAACATTAGAAACCACAACAATGGCTGCCACATTTATTTTGACACAGCTCAAATTTGGTATGGTAGTAGCTGAGAGTCATCCTCGACACTATCACTGAAGAAACCTTGTGACGTTGCTCAAGACTGCAAAAAGTTATTTTTAACGTTCGACCAAAGTTAATGAACTCCATATTTTCTCAACAAAAGATGGTCTTAGTTTAAAACTCTAACATGATGACATGAAATGACCTCAGTTTGTTGCATCCACTTTGAAATAAAGCTTATATTAAAGCGGGTTTGTCTCTGGGTTCTGCTTGTTGCTGATGTAAACCAGAGCATCCTGTTGTAAATCTTTAATACGTTGCTGTGAAAACAATCCACTTGTTGCATGTTTGTACAAATGCGCATGTTTACTCAACTGAGCTAATCCCTTCTGTTCAACTGTATTACAATGCTGTTTTTTTGTCTCATTATAAGTCCCTGTGGACAGCTTCAAGTAATTTGAATGAACAAAAACCATAAGCATCCCCCTATACTTCTCATGGTTTTGGGTTTATTGTCTGTTTAGTATGTTGTTTTAATCCCTTAAAAAACAAAGTCTCTCTTTACTCAAAACTTCCGCTTTGCTATTTTCCCCCTCAAAGCACATGGGGGAGAACTGAACTGAACATGACCACAACAGCAGAATTTTACATTATTTGTTTTCAAGTTTATTGTGGTCAAATGTGCAACTCGTGTGGAGTTCCCCAAGGATCCGTTCTTGGGCCCATTTTTTTTGGGTTCTGTAGTAAAAATGTAACTTTATAAAACCAAGACATTTATCAAAAGTGAAATCATTTTTATATTTCAATGACCTTGAATGGGTGATTCAAACTTTTATTATCTCCCATCTGAAAGTAATTTCTGTAAGTCTCTGTGGGCTGGTGTTAGCCAGGCCTCTGCTGGTTTCCTTCCATAAGCTTCCTATTTGTTTTAGGATTGATTTCAAAGTTTTATTGACGACCTAAAAATCTTTGAATAGGCATGCTCAGCCTCGTATGACGTGTCTCAAAGTGATACTTAAGTGAAAGTAAAAGTATTCCAACCTAAAATTGCTTAAGTACTTCAGTATTGCATGTACTGTTAGGGAGTGATTAGAATTTCAAAAATAACATTTGGGAGATGAACTCTTGAAAAAAAAAAAAACAAAGCAAAAAGTTTCTAAAGGACTATACTGTAATGACTAAACCAGTGGTTCCCAACCTTTTTAGACTTGTGTATCCCCTGATTTTTTCATACCACTAGTACCACTTCAGTCAATCATAATGATGATTATCCAAAAATATAATATCCTACAACCGATTATTGAATGAAAATTATTTATTTAACCCCCTCGAACATTTCATTCTCAGGCATTTTATTCTTTATAACTCAAATTAAACAAACATAAAAATGTTGGCTTGAAAGTGAATAAGTAACTAAATAAATAAACAGGTATTGGCAGGTGAAGGAAGCAACAACGTCCAGAATACAACAGAAACTCGCCCATAATGAGCAAATTCCATGAGATCCCACATTTATACTGGATTTGTGTTAATTCCATGATTCCGTCTGCATTTTCCGCTTTGTGGAAATCATAGGGCCCTACAAATTTCTGTCCAATTTTTATTTTTTATTTTACACACCTGGGAAATTTTTCCACGTACCACCTGTACACGTACCCCTGGTGGGGAATCACTGAACTAAACTGTAAAACTATATTAAAATGTTACCAATGAGGCTACCTGTTTCAGCTGCAGCTATAGCATCTCTGCCATGTTCATCTTACGTACAAAGACTACATACATCTAATATGTCCTGTTGGAGTGTGACCTGATGTGTGTCATGTACAGGTGCGATGGATCGAGTACAAACAAATAGGCTGTCAGAATATTTATATTTCTCATCCAACCACAATTAAAGACCCTCTATCCAGGAGGCGCTTTTTTTTCGGATTTTGTTTTTAACTATTTTTTTTAACAAAACAAGCCAAAGTGAAATASAAAATAAATTATTTTTGCATTTTTTATGTAAGGAGCAGAAAATACAGATAACTCCATGAAAATGTAAGGAGTGAAAGTAAAAAACATGGCTGAAAAATGTAATTACTCCAGTAAAATATGGTGATCAGGTCCTTCATATCAGACAAGGCTTCAACTTTTGGTGTTTTGAAATATCTTCTTAAACACATTTGTACTCACTGTGTTTTAATACAGCATGAGAGTTGGTTTTCTGGGTTCCATTTGTCTTTTCATGTTTTTAGACGTTTTTGTCTTTTGAACAGTTGATGTAATTTGTTGTTTTTGTGTGCGTCACTTTGGCTAACTGCACTTGTTTTTACATGTGCTCCAAGCACATTTTAATTTCGTTACAGAATATAAATTATGTTAATCTAATGGTTTCAGATGGCCCTGATGAAGCATCGTGGCCTGTTTCAGCTGCTGGAGGCTGATGGCAGGAAGTTGTTGCACACCAAGCTGCAACCCTGTGGGACCACCAGCAGTGGCTCTGAGCAGGAAGACAGCGCTATGGCGTCCATCCGCATCGCTATAGAAACCATGCTGGAGGAGCTGGCGCCCAACCTGTGGGAGGATGATCTGGACCGGCTGGTGGATTTTGGGCACCTCATCAGCCCTGAGTTGGAAATGGTCAAAGAACAGTTCCCACCTTAAAGTGGCCTCAATGGGCTACACACATCATGAACAATGTGTTGAGATAAGAGCAGCTAATCCTTGTCACCACCTTTCTTCTGGCCCAAACAGAGAGTTTTACCCRCACTGCTTCATGGGGAGGCCGTCAACATCGACATGTCCTTCATGGTGTACGTGKCCCACCAGAAGGAGCTTCTGACCGCAGAGGAGAAAGAGCGCATCATCCAGTGCATGAGGGGTCTGGAGCTGCCCGTGTGGCACCAGGACTGCACCCTGAGCCTGGTGCAGAGGTCTCTCCAGGAGCGTCTGAAGCACTCGGCGGGCTCGCTGAGGATGCCTCTCCCGATAGGACTGGGGCGTGCAGGTAAACCCATCAGCTGGAAGGCTTTGTGTGACTGCTGCAGACTGCTGATAGCTGCTCAAAGCAACAACATGTTTGTGTTTCAGTGACATGTTCTTGATTTGTAGAAATCTTCCACGACACAATAGAAGACACAGTGCTTTGCCAAGCCCACCAAATATGGACTGAAGAGCTTTCTTCATGTGGTAACGAAGAAATACAACCAAAAACTACCAAACTTACTTGAACTTTAAAAAGAATTTAAAAACATAATGTAAATAAAACAGTTCTGACAATATAAACTATTGTTAATCTAATAAATGTCTTTAGAGAAAAGTGCTTATTTTATATTGTGTCACTAAAGCAGTCTGACGTAATTCCTTTGTATCCAGCCTAAAGATACTGTRAGGGAAATGTTTTATCTTTAAAAATGTGGACTCTTTGGTGGATACCACCATCTTTACTTGGCACAATGGTCCAGTTTGAGGGTGACTGGTGCCAGTGTGACCTGAACATGTGTGAAAATGGGTCATTGAGATAACTCTGCCGTGTCCATGTGCAACAATGATCGCAGCTACATAAACAAAGTTAGAATATATGGAATAAATAAAATTTCAGATTGTCACACTGTGGTCTAATATTATAGTACAGGTCTAGTATTGTTGTACAAGTCTAGTATTTTAGTAAAGGTCTGGTATTGTAGTATATGTCTAGTGTTGTAGAACAGATCTAGTATTGCAGCACAAGTCTAATATGGTACAGTTCTAGTACTGTAGTATGGGCCTAATATTATAGTACAGGTCTTGTATTATGGTACAGGTCTAGTACAGGTCCAGAATTATATTACAGGTTCAGAATTATTATTATAGTATAGGTCTAATATTATAGAACAGGTCTGGAATTATAGTACAGATCTAGTACTGTAGTATGGGTCTAATATTATAATATGGGTCTAGTATTATAATACAGGTCTAGTATTATAGTACAGGTCCAGCATTATAGTACAGGTCTAGAATCATAGTATAGGTCTGGAATTATAGTACAGGTCTAGTACTGTAGTATGGGTCTAATGTTATTGTACAGGTCTGGAATTATAGTACAGATCTAGTACTGTCATATGGGTCTAATATAATATGGGTCTAGTATTATATACAGGTCTTGTATTATAGTACAGGTCTTGTATTATAGTACAGGTCCAGTACTATAGTACAGGTCTAGTATTATAGTATAGGTCCAGTATTATAGTACATGTCTAGTACTAAAGTATATGTCCAGTATTATAGTACAGGTCTAGTATTATAGTAAAGGTCTAGTACTGTAGTATGGGTCTGATATTATAGTACAGGTCTAGAATTATAGTACAGGTCTGGAATTATAGTACAGGTCTGGAATTATAGTACAGGTCTAGTACTGTAGTATGGGTCTAATATTATAGTACAGGTCTTGTATTATAATATAGGTCCAGTATTACAGGTCTAGTATCATAGTATAGGTCCAGTATTATAGTACAGGTCTAGTATCATAGTATAGGTCCAGTATTATAGTACAGGTCTTGTATTACAGTATAGGTCCAGTATTATAGTACAGGTCTTGTATTACAGTATAGGTCCAGTATTATAGTACAGGTCCAGTATTATAGTGCAGGTCTAGTATCATAGTATAGGTCCAGTATTATAGTACAGGTCTAGTATTATAGTATAGGTCTAGTATTATAGTATAGGTCTAGTATTATAGTACAGATCTAATATTATAGTACAGATCTAATATTATAGTACAGGTCTAATATTATAGTACAGGTCTAGGATTATAGTATAGGTCCAGTATTATAGTGCAGGTCCAGTATTAGAGTATAGGTACAGTATTATAGTAGAGGTCTGGAATTATAGTGCAGGTCTGGTACTATAATACAGGTCTAGTATTATAGTACAAGTCTAGTACTGTATTGTATTTTTCTTTTACCTCCTAAATTTGCTGCATTTAATCATAAACTTAAAACTGATTTAAAATCTACCTTTTAGTGATGTAAATGTAGACAATTCTTTGCACAGAAACAACAGTTACAAACACTAATTCTTTACTTTGCATCTTAAGGGATTTTTACAGGASAAAAACATACACGCTCTACGAAATGCTCAAATAAATCTTTAATATTTCTTGCAAGATAGTTTCAACATGGAGTACCAGTGACTCTGAGCATGAGTTCAGCAATTTGACAGACAGTGGGTACAGTAACTATTGCAACCTTCATTTCTTTAAAAAATACAATAATAAATTAAAAAAAAAGCTGTAGTAACATTGAATCAACCACAGGAATTTAATTTTGCACTCAAGATCAAAAACTGAGCAAACACAGTTCTTCCATTAGTGGTTTATCCATAGTGTGCTGAGACAACTGGAGAAGTGATGGCCTAAACATGTACTGCCACTATACCCAGTCACATTTCAAGGTTACCATATTGGATTTCCCTGCTCTGGGGTTTGTATTAGTGTGCTTTTACTAGAATGGCTCAAATACCATCTGATCCCAGTACTACTTAGCTAACTGGCTGTTAGCTGTATTGCTTTTAATCAGTGGGTGGAGTGAACTTGATGAAATGTGGCATGTGACAGAAAAAAACAAAGAAAGCATGAACATTTGGAACTGTTTTGTTGTTGTTTTAACTACTTTACAATACATCACCATGAGGCTGTTAAGACACTATCAGTAGTTCAAACCCTGTAATTTACATGTTTATATAAATCTGTCTTTACTTTTTGGCACACATTTTGGCAACTGTGAACTACATTCATACTAGTCTCAAAACAATTTCAAATATTTAGTACAGTTGTTGGTAGAAACAAAATACACAACACAATGTGGAGTTCCAAAGTGTTCAGTAATAAATCATATAGATCATCTAAAAGTGCTGTGAGGCCAAACTGATTTTGGGCTAAGCACATTAGCATGCTCCCTAAAATTAACAAGCTAATGTAGTGTAGAATGCTACGGCTGCTAAGATTTAGCAAAAAAGTATAGAACAAGGGATTTTTTGGGACGAATGTTTGTCAGTTTTATAAGAATTTGGTGCTAATTTGAAATGAGCAAACCATAAGTAAATGGCCTATAGCAGGGCTATTCAAGTAAATTGCTCAGGGGGCCACAGTTACTCAAAGCCAACAGGCTCAGGGGCCAGATATCACAGGGGTGGGGGGCGTTGCCCAATAATGGCAGGGGCTGGAAATCTGGGATCGTGAAGCTGAAGTGTTGCTTGATAATAGGGGAAACACTGCATTATGCCAAAGAACAGGTAGTTTTTATTTTTTTACCTTTTAAATTTGCTGCACTGATTCATACATTTAAAACTGATTTCAAATCTACAGTATTTACATATTAAATTTAAAAAAAAAACCTCACTGGCCAGATGTGGCCCACAGGCTGCCAGTTGAAAAGCCCTGACCTATGGTGCCCGAGGAAGTGTTAAGTCAGGGCTATCAAACTATCAAACTTGGGGTGTTATGGTTGGGGAAACACTGAATTATGTAAAAGAACAAGTATTATCTTTTACCTTTTAAATGTGTTTATTTTGTTACATTAAATCATACATATAAAACTAATGAAAATCTATTTTAGAATTTGAAAAAAAAAGTTTTTTTTCTTCTTCTTTTGGGGGGCCTTATTGGCAGGCTGGACGGAAGTCACCTGCGGGCTGGATGTGGACCGTGGGCCGCCAGCTGAATAACCCTGCGTTAGGAGCTAGTTTTCAAATAAGACTCGCCATATTTTTTCCTCTTTTTTTCTGTCTTTCTTTCCATAGTTCTGCATTTTCCTCAGTGACAATATTTTAATCAATAATTTGTGTGTTTTTTTCCCCCTGATCATTTGCTTGCTTTGCAGACTGAGTGAATCCTATCAGTTTGTCATGTAGAGAAGACTCTTGGGTCACATTAACTTTGGCGGTGTCGAGTCATAGGAGGCTACGTTTCCTGGCTGGTAAAGCTTGAGGCTTTTGGAAGACAAAAGTATTCAATACCTGCATACATGAAAATTACTATGTAATTATTGAGGAAATGAAATTATCTACTAAACTATTTGACTAATTATGTAAAAAATATTGAATCTCTTAACATTGAACACTTTGGGGTGCTTTTATTACAAACCATTTCTGATGGTTCTTAAGTCTGTGGTGCTGTCTCAGACTAGTAGATCCTGTTGATATTTACAGGACCTCGGCACCTGCTGTTAATCTATGAAGCACCAAACACCTCTAACAAAATATTACATCAGTACTTGTACATCACCATGACAACAGAAGCAACTATAAGGCACTTAAATAAAAAAAGGTCAATACTTCAACACCACCTTAACCCACTTCATAAAAATATCACATTTTCAAGGCAGGATGATTTACAGGCACAACTTCAACCATTGCATTGTTTTACTAATCGGAGGCTGTGCGGTTTTTCAGAGATTCGACCAAGCGGCACGGAGCTAACTCACAAACATGCGACAACTATTGCAGCAATGTGCAGAAATATACAGCTGATTGTGCATCTCCAAAAGATCTGCCTGTCTCGTAAAATAGCACATGTGCATGTCACAAACCAAATACAACCGGCAAAAATAAGCTGTGATTATTATAATTTTTCTTCTTAAGGCTAAATTTACACCACATTTCAGTTTACAGAGATCTTTCCAGTGTTTGAACAAGCGTTTCGTACAAAATCATTCTCCTTATATTCCTTGACATGATACATTTCATATATTAGAAAAAAACAAAAACATGTAAAAAGACCCTGAACATGAAATGTCACTGAAGGTGGTATAAAATAACCAACTTAGAAAATATGTGAAAAGTTCTTTAAAAACAAAAAACTAGTATATTACTGTGTATTCTGAAATTTAACAGCTCTGCTTGCGTGGGTCACCACAGGTAAGAATCAAACGGATACCCCGCTATATTGGATCATATCATACAGTAATCTGTAAGTAAAGATGGACGATGTGTCTTTTTACTTCAGTTGTAAAAATAAATGGAGCGAAAATATCCGTTCCACTGGCAGTGCTCTGTTGTATATTTAAAAACAGGGTTTGTGGACCAGGTGTGTGGGGTTCCACCTACACAACTGTACACAATCACGGTTTCAAGAAACCTTTTTGAAGCATCAAATAATTAAATACAGCTAAACTCTGTGGAAAGTACTCATATTGGAACATAAAGCAGCAGGGTCAAGAGCTTAAAAAAAGGTATCAGAGGTATTTTTAACTTTTATTCAGGAAACTTCCTCATTAAAAGATCATTTTGTAGTTACAAGTGCACGAAGCGGCCAGGTCCACCCGCTTCGGATGTTATCATCCA